GCCATTCAAAGATCAACCACATGGTGTAGATCTTGCTTTCAAGATCTGTGGTGGCTTAAGGCCTAGCTTTTCAGATAATACTCCAGAATGTTATATATATATTAAGTTAGCATACAAATGCACAGATGCAGATCCTGAAAAAAGACCAACAGTAGATGAAATTTTAAAAATTATTACTTTTTGGAAAGATGCAATTGAATCTAATATTTCTAGTTATTCTGAAGAACAGGTTGATAAATTAAAAAAAAATTTAGGAAATCAAATAAAAAATCCTTTAATACTTCAACAATAACAACAATTGTTCATCCAAATGCTGTTTATACAAGTAGATTATTGAATTTTACAAATCTCCCTCAACCTGTAAATTCCAATAAAGTTACAATTATTAGTAACAATAATGGTAATTATCTAATTTATTGTTATATTTATATTAATCTTAATTATTTATTATTTATGACATTTTAAATTATATATTCTAAATAATACTATAGAATCTAAATAAATTGAATTAACTATGCCAGATTCCAAACAAATTGAATTAACTTACCAGATGATTTTATGTATAAATTTCATTCATCTGATTATTGAAATTTCCACATTAGTTTTTTCATTATTATAAGGAAGTGTTATATGGTGAACAAACACCTCTTATTATTACCAAAAAAAATTTTTTAATGATTATATGCTATCTATTTCAAATTAAAGCAAATCCTCCTTGTAATTTAACCTGACCTAACACCATGCTTCTTAGTATTATTTTATTTATAATTTTATTAGTATTTTTATATTCACATTTATATATACTGTTTTAACATTTTTATCATCTATAAACATTACAAATAACAATAATAAAAATTGTGGGATAAAAATCTGCATCTCAGTAAATTTCAATATTTTATTTATAATAATAAGTCAACAATGTTAATACAATTTATTTATTTATACTAAATCATAACAACAATTTCTGTGAATTGTATATTCATGCTTTACTCTTAAACTATCATCAAACAATTCCTTATACTAAACAATACCTTTAGATTTTGCACTATATATCTTGATCACATTTCTTAATGGGTGCCATTCTAGCTGTTTTCCTCTTCACTACCAAGTCAGGCACATATCCAAATACTACTAAATAAAATTTATTAAATATTTACCTCACTAAAAGAAAAGAAAAGAAATAAAAAATAATAAAAATAATAGAGACAAATATAAAATAAGAAAATAATTATGCATGGGATTAGTATGAATTCATTGATAGAGATAAATTTATTATCATTATAAAAATATAATATTTGAAATAAATCTGAATTATACAAAAGTTTATTGTGTAATAAAGGATGTATCTACAAGACGGAATTCTTCATTCTACTCACGGCAGAGATTTATACTATTAAAAGATGCAATTAAACATTTACCAGGAAGGATGAAAATTGAGAAAATAAAAAAGATGGTAAAAGATTGGAACGTATGATGTTATCAGATGATGAATGGCAATTAATGAATGAATTAACTTTAATTTTGAAAAGTTTTGAAGAGCTTACTAGAATGATGAGTGGTAATTCATATGTGACTATTTCCATCTATAACTACTTTAAAAAACAATTTAGATGAATTATTATTAAAAGAAAGAAGTACAGACAAATCATTAATTGAAGAATTAGAAGGTAATGAAAATACTGTAACTGAAGAACAAGATGATGTATTTGGTATTGTTGATATTACAGATGAAGATGTTGCAGATGATATAGTGGTATCAGTTTCCAGAAACAAAAAAAAAATTAAATATATCCAGACCAATTGACACATCAGGAATAAAAATTTTTATTGTAAGAAAATTATTGGAAAATTTGAAAAAGTATTGGTCTGTTCCAAGTAGCATTGCAACTTTATCAACAATCTTGGATCCTAGATTGAAATCATTATGTTTTTTTGACTCTGAAAGGATTGAACAGATCAAAAGTCAACTAAAAGAAGAATACTTGATTATAAAAGATAGGTTAGATAAAAGTGAACTTAATGAAAGTCAAAATAATTTTATTATTGAAAATGAAATGGATCACAGTGAGCATGATTTGAATAATGTTTCTATTTTAAAACAAATATTGCAACCTGATAATGATGTGGTTGGTAATTATAATGAAATATCACATTATCTTTCTAGTAATGTAAGGAATGATATTGATCCTTTTAAATGGTGGAATGGAAACAAAAATAATTTTCCCATTTTAACAAAATTGGCAAAAAAATTTTTATGCATCTCAGCTACATCTGTTGCTTCTGAAAGATTATTTAGTGATGTAGGAAATATTATTACTGCCAAAAGGACTAATCTAAAACCTGAACGAGTGGGAAAGATGATATTTCTGAAACATAATTTAAAAATAGTTCAACCATTTTCTTAAATTTTCAATGTTTTTTTCTTTTATAGCAAATATAATTTAGTAGATACATTTGTGATTTGTTGAATATTTAAATATTTACAAATATAAGTATTTGAAATATTTTAAATAAAGCATTTGAAATATTGAAATAATTAATAATTACAAGCATCCAAAATAATTACAAGCATCCATAATAATTACAAGTATCCAAAATAATTACAAGTATCCATAATAATTACAAGTATCCAAAATAATATTCGAAATTCGAAATTTTGGATTTATGAATATTCGAATATGGAGTTATAATTATGGTTAGGAACCCTACATCTAACCTTTTCTGTTCATCTCCCTCCTCCCATTCCTTCAAATTCCTTTTTGCTTCTTTGTACTCTTTAAATGTAATATTTTTATCATTTTCAATTCCTTCCATAGTTGTCATTTTGTAAAAATTGAAAATTATTTATTTAAAAAAAAAATTTAGATTGTTACAATTATTTGTTTCTTATATGGCAGGAGTTATAATTATGGTTAGGAACCCTACATCTAACCTTTTCTGTTCATCTCCCTCCTCCCATTCCTTCAAATTCCTTTTTGCTTCTTTGTACTCTTTAAATGTAATATTTTTATCATTTTCAATTCCTTCCATAGTTGTCATTTTGTAAAAATTGAAAATTATTTATTTAAAAAAAAAATTTAGATTGTTACAATTATTTGTTTCTTATATGGCATGCCGAAGGTTAAGTATCAAGCAAATGTCACAATTAGTAAAGCAAATGTCATAATTAATTGAAACAAATGTTATAATTAATTGAAACAAGCACTATAATTAATTAATTGAAGCAAATGTTATAATGTTATAATCAATTGAGACATGTCACAATTATTTGAAATATCTTCATCTCAAAAAAAAAATTTATTCATGATTCGCATTTTTTTATTGTTCATAAACAAAAAAAAAAAACAAAGCAAAATCTGAATGAATCTATAAATATTAGAAGATTGGTTTTTGGAGAATGCTTACACATAGAATATGACAATAATGCAAGGTCATGTATGTGTCAAAATCACAATTGGAATTAAATGGATATTACTGACAAAAATTGTTTCACTTTTAAACATTCATATGCTTTTCACAAAAATATACAAAAAAATAATGAATTTTCACTTCAATCAGATGGTCTTGTAAATGAATTAGGAAATAATTTCCTTATTTGTATTTCTTAAGTCAATATTGACAAGACTTTTTGTAATAATAATAAGCTGGACACAGACATGATTTTTCATTATTATTATAAAAACCGAACACTGGCTTGATGTTAAAATTCAATAAAGTGAAGCCATATTGTGTAACATTAGTATTGATTCCCTTTTATTTCTTAAAATAATAAAATGAACTTAAAACAATTTCTTGATGGTTATTCATTACCTTTAATTTTGGATGGTGGTATGGCCACGCAATTAGAAAAGATTTATAATAAAGATTTATATAAAACAAATTTATGGTCATCAATATATTTATATCAAGATCCAGATTCTATCAAAAAGTCACATTTAGATTATTTAAAAGCTGGTGCTGATATTATTAGCACTTGTAGGTTTGTATAACCATAATAATAAATTTTTGATAAAGTTTATTTATTTAAAGTAGTGTTTTGAGATGATTAATAAATTAACAAACAATCGTTTTTATGTATATAATCTACATGTATAGTTATCAGGCTTTTTTAGACGGCTTCATAAAACAAGGTTTCACAGAACAACAATCAGTTGGTATAATCCAAAAATCAGTAGATATAGCAGTCAATGCAAGAGACATATTTTGGAAAGAATACCAAAATCAAATAATAAGTAATAGCAAAAATCCTCATACAAATAACAAGAACAAAAGTAGAATCAAACCTTTAATAGCATTATCAATGGGACCATATGGTGCAATATTGTGTGATGGGTCAGAATATAAAGGAGATTATGTGGATCAAACAGCAACTAGAGAACAAATAGAATCATTCCATAAGAATCAATTAAATTTATTTAAAGA